AACATTTGGTAACGTTAATTGTTTGGCAAAAACATTTCTAAAGGTTGTTTCGCTTTTGGTGTTATTTATTTAAATATTGTCTCATAAATTTTAAAGGATTTTTTTTATTTAATTTGCCATCATTTTACAAATGTACATTCGTTCGCATCTTCCTCCTATAAATAGTCATATTTTATTATTAAATTTAGTACTATTAGCAGCTGTAAGACCTAACAAAATCTAAGAAGTAAAAGTAGCATGACAGATAAAAGCAAAATCAGATAACAGCAAACAGCTAATTTCAAACTCCATCAATAGTAAATATCGTATTTTGCGGAAATAGAATACAATTTGACACATTAATGCGTAACGAAGCTGGAAATTTTTTAAAATTCCAATCCTGTAAAATTAAATCTGTTTCTAACTGCATGATTGACCTACTTAAGTTATATTGCTTACTTTTAAAATCTTTGAGACCGCAGAGATCGCGCAATGGCCTTAATAAAAGTTTGTAGAGATATTGTTTGCTGGTAATGGAATAATACTGTCATTCCCTTTGTTGCGTCGAGATAATGGTCCAACTTTACCATTTGAGCAGGTAAAACTAGCACTATTTTCCATTTCTAAGCCCGAGCCATTCTTACCGTTTCAAACGCTCAGAGATTTTTATCTGTTACGCTTATGAATCAGAAGTTGCCTCATTTATTCAAAGTACAACTATGTATTCTTATCTGCTGTATGTCTAAGCTATGTTGTTTTGAAAGAGTATAAAGAAAAATATTCAAATAATCTGTTATCATATGTTGCGTGATTTAATACAAAACAAACTTATAAATAAAAATCTAGCAATCCCACCATGGTAAGATAAGGGCTGGAAAGAGATTTAATGTTAAGAGTTAAATGCAACCGGTTCTGCAAACGACGATGTCTACAATAATATTGATTAGACGGGTTACCCGCCTTATTGATGGCGTAATGTAATTTCGTTTTCTCATTTTCCGAAAGATCAATAACATAACATTGTGTTAAAATTCAACTTTTAACCCCTTGTTAAAGTAACTTGGGGTAAATGTTTCGTTCAGCCGCAAGAAATTCGTCCTGTTGAACAAAGGTCTTCCCATTGGAACGCCGTAATAAACTACACTCCATCGGTTTCCCGCGACTATTACGATGTCGTAGGTCCACCTAGAGGGAGGCCTTCGACGCAATCACTGTGTAACCAATCATAATTAATGAAATTATTGATGTACGTCAACGAATATTAATTCTCTCGTTGAGTTTTATAGCTGTCTCTACAAAACTAAAAACAATGTAATGTGTCACGATTTCAAAGAATTAATATAGAGCCTCATGGCCATCTATGTGGGCAATAATTAAAAAAAATACAATTCAAAAAATTCCTTATTATGTCAAAGGCCATCGGGGGTCCGTACTACGTGGTTTTATCTTATATTATTAGTACCCGGAGGACCGACGGTTTGTTTTTTTTTTTTGGTAAATCGTGTATTTTGGAAATTACATTTAGATAAAAATTACTGAGTAATGAAATATGCATAATATTTTTCGATCTTACCGACGTAATAAAAAAAAATATGAACTGATGTTTTTCACAAAAGAAAGAACTTTAAAAAAAAAAAGGAAAAAAAAAATAACAAAATAACAAATCGACAAAAAACTAAAAATAAAGAAAGCAATGATCTGGAAGCAACTTTTAGGTTAACTATGTAACTAACCACTAAAAAGTGGAATTATTTTTATTTATCGTAATAAAAATTATGCATGTTCACAGATCAGCATATCAAACTTTCGACTGAAGAAGAAGAAGAAGAAGAAGAAACGTTTATTCACGGTCTAAGCACAAATAGATACATATATACAACTCGTTAAAAATAATAATGTAACTACACAAACTTATATAAAATAATATTATACTAGAAATAACTTAAAATAAAAGTAAACTTTTAGGTTAACATGTAACAAAAAACTAAAAATAATAATAATAATAAGTGAAGGTCTGTGTAGCAGCATAAGACCGTGAAACGGACGGGACTGCTTATTGATAAAGGACAAAATTGCGTCGAGAAACTCGATGGAAGTAATTTGTTTTCGGGCGTTCAAGCAAATCAAAACATGTTAAACAATCAATAAGAGATTTATCATTATTTAAAATTAATTGCCTTTTCGGAAATTGAGCGTAAATCTGGCATAAAATATGATTACTTAAACCAGTTTGTGGCAGTCTATGGGAAAGATAGAGGTTTAGCAGTGAACTGAAACAAGCTGAAATGTCAATGATAATGAAATCAATAACTTTGGCAATCTCATTAATTTATAACAGGGAATATTATCAGTCACATCTTCATCATGACCTACCAGCATCCGTTTGATACTGATGGTGTTGGTCAGATAGTCGAGAAATGGGTACACAGGTCTCATTAGTGGGGGTCCATTAATGGGACCTGTGACCAGTCCTGTTTTTCTACTCATACTAATTTACTAATACTTTACTTACTTAATACATACTACTTTACTTTCAACTAAAACTAGTAGTTAAAACTAGTTTTATATTATATAATAATATAAATATTCCTAGGAATATTGGGTCAACATATCAGAGAAAACGGGAATTTTACTATAATATAGGATAGTTTACGTTAATAATTAATTTACAGTAAGACATTATAAAATCGAAAGATTAAAAATGTATACACGCAATATAATATCGTTAAATAATAAGAGTGAGTGATATTTTAGGGTTCTTTTTTCGTAAATTGTTTTATTAACATTTTGTTTTATGAAGGCTTTAATGAAATGTAACGTGCAGAATGAGATAATAAGAAATCATAAACTTTAGTCCGCAACATTTACGAGCTAGTTTACGATTTATTGCAAACAAAATAATAAATACGCAGGAAATACAGAGAAGAAAGGTTGTGCAAAATACTATTTTAAACCTGATTAATAATACTCGTTTTATAGAGATAATGAAATTGGTCGGAGCATAGCATCTTCTTCGTAGTTTAGCTTGACAGTTTCGTAGACTTTCCTTGGGGCAGCGGTTTGCAAAGAAGCGACGCAGGTGGTGTTGGGTGACACTCCCGTTCATCGGAGAAACTGGACATCGTCAGGACTTCACTTCGTTTCTAACATCGAACAGGTACAGGTTTAGCTTAGTAGATAGTAATAGAAATATATTTAGTTTTATGTGAGAAGGTGGCAAACGAGCTGGCGGTTCACCTGATGTTATGTGATGACCACCGCCCATGAACATTTGCAACACCCGTCGGGTTGCAAACGCGTTGCCACTTTTAATAAAAGTGCGTCCCGGCTACCTCACTCACCAGACTAAACGCAGAAATGTAACACTTCTACTTTACATCGGTCTTCTATGGGGTCGTGATTTGACTTACCCGGACGAACCTGCTCATTCGTATAACATTCTTGAGTGTTCCTAACAGATAAAAACTGAGTCTGTGAAAAATCACAGCATTCATTTAGAATATTTATTTGATTACCCAATAGATTCAATAAGTATTCAAATTTGATGGTGTTAAGATCATCTTCAAGGCTAAGGTCTAATGCCTAATTTTGATGGTAATTGAGGTATTTCACTGTAATTAATTCAATTATTCGATGAGATTGTCGCAAGCTGTATTAGTAGTAACTAAAGTCCGGAAATTAGAATGAATGGCATTTTAATTGGGCCATTTGTACTAAAATGTATTACTAATAATATACTAGGTAATAACTTTTTAGAATTTTTAAATGCCTTAATAAGGGATGAGTGGTTAACTAACGAGGAGCGCCCAGTAATTTAGATGAACCTCAGTCAAAAAAGGATGACTAGCCACTACAGGGGTAAATTTGCATACATATAGACAGCTTCATTTGTATAATGTATATAAATATGTAATTTTTCGAATCTCATAAAAGATTTACTCATAGACTCGAGCATGAATCAGTCTCAAAGCTGTTCAAAGTTTTCATTCAAACACTCCGTTAACATTTAATCCAATTGTATCTAACAAATCTAACAGAAAGCTATATAAACTGTAATAAACTTAGAGTATAGTCATATTTTGAAAGAAGTGCAATAATTATTAATTAATAACATTACTAGCAATTGAATAAAAAAAACACATTTTATTGTTTGTTATTCTTGATTTTAGAGATTGTGTCAGCCACTCATGTTTTAAGCTGTGTGTATTAAATTAACTGCTTACTTTGTGGTTATTGTATTTCATAATTTTGCCAGCTATTACGTAACTTATAGCTTCCATTTTCCATTGCACCTAATGGGCATTTTAAGAATCAAACCGAGACTATCTATAAGTTTTACGAGCTCTGGTTGCAATATTGACAAATAAGTACTTAGATATTTTCATTAATTTAGTTGACAGATTTTAAGGTTCCTTGACCACTATTCTACGATATTCTTATTAGGTATGGACTGATTTTTAGTATGTAGCCTGATACTTTGCTAATGCCGCTCACGTAAAAACAAACCTGCAACTGACTGGTTTATCAGTTTCAAATTTAAAACTTTCAAGAAATCTTGATAGTGCAAAATTAGACCATAACATTACAAACTCACCAAATTTCATCGCATTTTGCCATTGCACATGCCCTGAAAATCTTTGTTTCGATGTCATAAAAATTGTGGTGAAATATATTTATATAAATCACTAGTAGGTTTATACATAGTAGTAGGTAACCTGAAATCTCTGTTGTACAAATTTTATCTATAGTTTACTCATTAAGATCAGCCTGTCCATTTTAAAATGATCCTTCCTTATCAGCTCTCTTCATGTAGATTGTTTCAATCAACTTATAAAACATGTTATAAAAGGGGTCAACACAAACTTGACGCTGTCACGGTCGTTGGATCTGAGATAGTTTGTCTAAGCATTATATTAAATGATCGTCTTTGATGTAACTCAGAAGCAACTGGCAATTACGCAAGTGATCATGACGAATGAATGTGATTTTCTATACGTCTCGTTAAATAAAAATAATTGAAAATGAGTGAAGTGGATTTAGCGGTATTGGATGACAGTGGTACGTATCATGACTTATAAATTTTATGTTCTGTTTTAAAAGTTTCGTTGTCTAATTATTGGCATATGTCACCGTGCTAATCTTTTGGGATCAATAACATGAGTATAACGTATCTAATTAAAACTACTCACGTGTAATGTTTTAAAGAACAAGTTGCGTGTTTTTTAAATTTAATGACGCCAATTTAGTAAGTACTACATTTTCGTCTCGCGCTTACCGTTTTAAATTAAGATTGTTTTCCAGAATTAATGAATATTTAGAAATGGTAGAAAAAACAATAAATTTGGATGGACATCACGAACGATACTGCTCAGTTGAATGGTAAATTCAAATATTCATTCAGAATTCTATTTTATCTATTAGTTTACTTAGTATTGGCATTAATTTTCGTACTACCAAAGTTGGAAGTAATATCAATAATTCAATCCAAGTAAACGACACTGATATTTTTGTAACTCTTTCCCTTTATTGTGGATTTTTTTTGCAATAACTGTATTTATAATAATTGTAATAGCAAATTTAAATACTGACTACACATGTAAATATCACAAAACTTCTGGCGGAAACTTGATTTAATCTCTTTTCTTAATGTTATCATGGCGATAAAACATTTTGTTTATTCTTGTATCTAAAAATCTTTAGGTTTACCGATACCGAGATAGCGGTTTACCTCGTTAAGTTGTAGCTAGACGTGAACTGCGCATTTTGCACAATTATAATTATGCAAATATTTATACCGATTAAGCACTTTGTCACCTCTCGTCGTATGTCTTAAACGAATAGATGTAGCCTGTTTAAAATATAAATCTAAAATTTTCTTTTAATTGGAAACGCGAAGAAAGCTGGAAAATATTATAAATAATTTTTTAACACAGAAAACTTTTACATCTTTCAGCCAAGGACCGTAGTGACCCAAAAATCCTGACGTCGATGCAAGAAATCGATTTGGCTCTGAAAGAATGCGGTGTCGGATGGTTTCATGTGTTGCTTCTAAGTTCGGCGCTGGTGGGATTAATAGCAGGCGTTTTGGTGACTAATACGACGCCATATATTCTGCCGATAGCAGAATGTGACTTAAACATGAGTTTATTACAAAAGGGACTCTTGAACGCAGTACCGTACATAGGTGGATATCATTAAAAAACTTTTAACATTAAAAAAAAATTTGATGAAAAACTTAAAATCATTTGATAACCTATTTATTTACCTGAATTTCAATCAATCACCGATCGGCCGCGGGTTCGATTTGCACACGGGACAAATATTTGTGGGACCCACAGATAATTTTTTCGAATCTTATTTAGGTCGGTCGTCATCATCAGGTATCTTATTGACTTTAGCAAATACCAACCCTGCCTAGACAGGATAAAGTAGAAGAATGAATGAATGATGCTATCGAACCAATAACTCAGCGCACAATGGCAATTCAACTAATTAACAAATAGAATGTTTAGCTGTGGCAGGGCCACGCAGCAGCTTCTGCACAAGTGGACAGGCTTGTCCGGTGAAGTCTAAGACCTCACACAGCAGACTGGCGTCAATTGAAAGCCCTATACTCTCGCGTTTCGTTAGGTGAGAGAGGTAACTGTGGGCCATTTTTGTAATAGTTGGCAATGCATTTGCAACTCCTCCGTCACTGTACCGTCTCCTCCTGCACACGTTTCAATTTTTCACATTAAAGTACAGAATATATTTTTTTCCTGTTCCGCGTCCATGTATGTTTATTTTTACTACAAAGAATTTATATGATGTAAAGATTTAGTTCTATAATTTATGGTCTTAGTCTTTTTATTCGGTAAGGCAAGGTCCACTAACGTTTATAAGAAATTTTACAAAAGTTTCAATCGAGGACAAATATCCTTACTAATATTATAAACGCAAAAGTTTCTATGTATGGATGGATGTTTGTTATTCTTTCACGCAAATACTACTGAATGGATTCTAATGAAACTTTACACTATAGTTTATACATCAGAATAACACATATACTAAAATTTATATACATATTTTATGTATATCTGTCTTTCTGTGTTTTTTTTTTTTTTATAACGTTACGACTCACCTGATGGTAAGTGATCACCCTATTTGCCGGCCTTTTAGGAATGAGTACGCTCTCTTCGCAATGTTACGACTTCAGTCGCGGGCAGCAGGTAGTTTAATAATATAAATAATAAGGAAAAGCACAGGGTTGTAAGGATGTAACTATCCCAATACATCAAACTAATTATAGTAATGCGTAACATTCTCATGGTAACTATATTAATCTAACATATAACACGACAAAAAGGGTTTCAGATAACAGCCGCTAAATTCTGACCGTTAGTTACTCTAAAAGCGTAAATTTAGTATTATATAATATCATAAGTGTTTTAAAATAGATACAAGATTCGATAAAATCAAAAGAAGGTATAGAAATATTTGTCCTATTGTAAAGTGTAACACCTTTTTTTCATCACTTTTATTGCTTTTTGGCATCAACTTGTTTAACGACAATAATAAAGGTACATAAATATTTACTGAATTACCAGAACACATTAAGTATCACCAAAATAACTTTCACACTTTTATTATCTTCACCACGCACACTATGCACAATATTAACAATAGATTTATATTTATAAATACACAATAATAGTTCTATTGTCTTTATATATTTTTTCTTTTGTCTAACTGAGATTAACGCTTTCAGTCCTGAGATTATTAAAGCTTCATAATATTTATTACTACATACCAAATTTTAATGATCCAAATATGAGCATTCCATGTAGTGTATAGGACAGAAATTAAAAGCTTACCTACTTATTTATTCATATTGTGCAAATTATCACCCATTTCAGGAATGACTTTGGTTTCAATCATTGCTGGTTTTTTGACGGACACTTTTGGTAGAAAGATATTCCTTGTCAGCGGTTTTGGCGGCCTATTTTTATTCTCTGTGGTCGCCGGATCAAGTCAAACGTACGAGGTGCTAGTTATGGCGAAATTCTTTGAAGGCATTTTGTAAGTTATGGTGGTAGGTCCTAACTAAATCGTCTTAATTAAGTAAGACATCTCATCATAACATATCTCAATCAATTTTTAAATTCACCTTACTAATTTATTGTAATAGAAATGAAATCATATTATTTTTATGTTTTTTAAGTAATGAAATTTTAACTACAACTTTTTTTTGATAAATTCCATTAACTTTTTAAAATAATATACATGTTTATAAACCAATGTTCAATAGTCCAATATTTATTTCATTATGATAATCTTAATTTAACTTTTAATCATATCGGTGTTCATTTCCATTGTTTAGAACTTAAAACTATTAATAGTCAGATTCTATTGGATTATCTGGGTCTAGATGTGTGTCAGCGGAATCAAAGGGATTAACTTCGTTTCCTTTGCAGTTTATCCCTTTATCCATTTACAGCGCACAGCTTTAAATACACACCAGCGAACAATCCATTACAAACAACGTTGTGTAGATCGTTTGGCTTTAATGAAGCTGATGGACTTTATATTCTATAGCTTGTACTTTTTTGTAGTTTGAACAAATAAGATGGTCAAACTTAAAAGGAAGAGGATTCACCTTGTGTCAATGTTTCTTTACAGATTTGCGATATCATTTAGTCCAGCCCTGACGATTACATCTGAATTCTGCTACAAGGAAATCAGAGACCGAGTGGTTCTGCTGCGATCTTCATTTATGGCAATAGCTCAGATTCTTATAGCTGCCATGTCATGGGGCATTCTCTCCCAAAATTGGCATCACAGTTTATTTAATGGATATATAGGTTTGCATGTGCATCGATTTTTTTTTTGCCTATCACCTGATTATAGTTTTACTTAAAGTTCCTACTATCCATTCGTCTTTAAAGAATTTTTGTCGTAGTTTAATTATGTAACAGATCAGTGGGATATCGAATAGAAGACTAGTATATAATTCAAATGTGTAATAATTATTTTTATTGAATACTGTGAAAATAAAGCCCGTCTATTATGTTAATTAAAAAAGCAAAAAAATCCACTGGAATTATAGTGGATTTTTACTACTACTTTTTTTTACAAAAAGTCACCACGGGTTTCATGAATGTGGAGTCATTCACAAGCAATTAAAAAGTTTCATCATTAATTGTTGCCCTTTGAAAATATTATTATTGCACTTTAGATAATTTATTCGTGTTTCTTTCTAGAGTTATACGTATGGAATTTCTACATATATCTGATGTCGCTCTGGTCATTGCTGGCATTCTTGTTTTACATAATTTTACCAGAAAGTCCTAAGTTTTACATTACACAAGGAAAGTTTCGAGAAGCAAGAAATGTTGTAATAAAAATATATACGGTGAATACCGGGAAACCTGCCGAAACGTTTAAGGTAAAATCAATGTAATAAAAAATATAACTCACATTCATCAAAATAGGGAACATTTATTAAATCGCGCTGTCTTGTTCAATTGTTTTATTGTTTTTCCAAAACAAAACGTACATACATACGAACAACATACAGAAAACGTACAAACATTAATTTGTTCTCGTAATCCAGTTAAAAAAGTTAAAAACCCTCTAGCGAAATAGCGTCAATAATAATTGGCAGCTTTAGATACATTTCCAATTGCAAGTCACTTCAATGCTGGTTGCTCGGTTATAAATTTATCAATACCGAACTAAACTCGTACTGGTCTTTATTTCGCTCTTTTTCCCGATCGCGCTCTATTTCGTGATTCGAGTTGGAATGTAATAGCGTGCCCGTTTAGAATTCTTGTCTTTATCAATCTCTTTCTATTGCCGTCGTTTAATACATAAACCGCTTACATAATTCAGAGCACGACGTGGCTGATCTTATTTAGAAAAAAGAACTTGCGGTACAAAATCCCACATTATTTATGTAACATAGACGCGAAAGGCTTTCTAAAGGTCTAAAGCCAAGGTCACAATACCTTAGTGGAAAGAGCTATTTACCATATTTATTTTGAATGTCTTCGAGTCGCTATCACTGTCTCGTTAGGAGTTTCGTAATCGCCCGAGATTGAACCTGCGAACTTTACACATAAACGACCATTTTGTTCTTAAAATATCCATAAAAAATATTTTTAAATGGCCGCTATAAACGGAGATTTAATTTTTGGTTATGGTTAAAAATTTGTTAGAGCAGCGGTTTATCATCACTACATATTATAAAACAAAGTCCTCCCAATGTCTATCTGTCCCTATGTATTCTTAGATCTTTAAAACTACGCAACGGATCTTGATACGGTTTTTTTTTACTAGGTAGACGATAAATACGAACGAAAATCAGCCGTTTAGCTTAGTGGCTAAAGCGTCTGGCCGCGAATGCCGAAGATGTGGGTTCAGTAGTTCAGCAGTTCAGTTCAAGTGGGTTCGATTCCCACAGCGGCGACAAACTTTTCGTACTTTTTCTACAAGTTTTAATGTTTAATCTTAAGTGCAGAGGTTAGCACTACAAAAAACTTTTATTGCAATTTCTAAAAAGCAATGGCGACATCTCTCGTTCGATCGTTGTAAAACGATATTCGAAATTGTTTGTATGCTGGAAAGGATATAACAATAGATGCGCCAAGCAATGCTTCAAATGCTAAATAATAATGTAGATAAAATACGTTAAGATTTTCGTCGGTGTGGCAGTCAGCCATTTAGCTTAGTGGCTAAAGCGTAAGGCCGCGAATGCCGAAGATGTGGGTTCGATTCCCACAGTGGCGACAATCTTTTCGTACTTTTTATACAAGTTTTAACAATTAACTTTTTTTTAATTCAATTTAGTTAGAATTAGTTAGAGCAGCAGTTGATCATCACTACATAGTATAAAACAAAGTCGTCCCGCTGTCTATCTGTCCCTATGGATTCTTAGATCTTTAAAACTACGCAACGGATCTTGATACGATTTCTTTACTAGGTAGAGTGATTCAAGAGGAAGGTTCATATATATAATACGTTGCACCCGTGGAAAGCCGGGGCGGGTCGCTAGTGATATAATAAAAACAATTATCGGACGACCAGCGTGAAATGAAAATATAACATTTTTGCGTTGAGTCCGGCGGTTTAGTTTAAAGGGCCTTAAGCTTCACTGGTGGTGGTGGTAAGTGGTACTGGCGTAGACTAGAGGATAGGACACCACGCTCTCTCACAGTCCACCTACTGCGATCTGCAAACGCCTTTGTAATGCAGATGTCTTTAAGTGGAGGTAATCACTTAACATTAGGTAAACTGCTTGCTCGTTTGGCTGATTTTCTACTAGTGTCACATACATGTGTTAACTTTACTACTTTAGTACTAATATAAGTAAATTCACGTAAGCATCAGAAACTAATAAGGAGCATAATTTTTGCCAATATATTACGATAGACGCACATAATCATATAAATGTAAGCTTTAGGGAGAAAGACCCTATTTTAATAAAAAAGAAGGAAAACTCTTAAGTTCCCTCAAATTTCAAATATCTAGTTTTGGGATTTGATTAGGGCATGCCACACAAGTGACCATAGCTCTGTGTCAGGTTGTTCATATGTAACGACTTTTTAAATCCATTAGTAAATAATTGACCAAAAAATAATCTCTATCGTTTTATCCGTAAATCTCTTGAGAATAAAAATAAGAAAAAAGTTATCTTTCAGTTATAAAAAGGACTGTTCTTGACTCTTATAACAGTATTTAAATATGTATTAAGATGATTTCACTGATTTTTTAGGTTCCATATAAAGCTCCCCATTCCCCTCAAGTTCCCCTCAAAGACCCATAATATCACTCTCTTGTCCGTCTGTCTGTCCGTGTGTTACCACCGATTTTCTTAGGAGCGGGTGGACCAGAGTTGGCAATTTATACTAAATACTGAGGTCTATAGTCCCTATTAGTCTGTAGTCCCTATATAAAAATAAAGGTCCTGAGTTAACACGATAAAATAATTCAACATTCAAAATGCTAAGTCCACTCGTGCCTGAGAAAATTGGTGGTGATTATTTACCAAATTTATTATGGCGCTATAATAGATGGGTACGGAACTCATGGCGTACAAATTCGACTCGCACTTGACCGGTTTTTTAGTTTTTAAAACAGATAAAATTTTTCAGTAGAAACATAAGTTGATGAATGAATACTTATTTGGGACGTTTTGTACAATCTGTTACAGTACATAAACCTGTGGAAGGAAAAGGAGAAGCAATATATTGATGAAACGCCAGAGAGAACAAAGGGTTCCACCATCACCCATCAGCTAGTAACAGGTCTTCATAATGTGAAAACGATGTTCAAGAAACCTCTCGTCCTATATCTGCTTTTAATTTCTGCGATGAACTTTTTGAGCATGGTACTGTAAGTATTTAATATTTTCAAACACGCCGGTCATTAACGTTCCTTCACTTTTTTAATTTTCACAATTCTCTATGCGTACACCATTTTAGTTATAGTTCTCTTTATTTTTAATATAAAGAAAATTTTGCTCGATTATTTTGATGATGCAAAATTGGTTAAAATATAATATTCGAATAACATAATATGAAAAAATTAAACCAATTGACTTTAGAAATTTAAAGTTTTTTATAGTGCTGATTGCCACATTACATTGTTATTTAGCATTTGAAGCATTGCTTGGCGCATCTATTATTATAATATCCTTTCCAGCATACAAACAATTTCGAATATTGTTTTACAACGATATGATGGGATGGATGGATATGACAGAATGGGTTCGATTCCCACAGCGGCTACAATCTTTTCGTACTTTTTCTATGTTTTAACAATCAACTTTTTTTTAATTCACTAGGATGCGCAATTGGAAGGAATGTGGAGATTATGTTACTTATCGGACGAAACAATATTTGTGATTTTATGTATTTTTCAACCGCAAATTAACTCTCCCAAAACAAACTTATCGTATAACTAACTGTCGAAATTAATTATAAATTTCTTCGGTCAGGTACAACGTAATTAGGCTGTGGTTCCCTCAATTGTCAGCCATCGTAGAGCATTACAGTAATGTTGATGGTGTTCAAGACCTATGCGGAATGCTGGACGCATACACCAGCGATGTGCGGATAAGAAGTGCTAATTCTACTCCTTCGGACGTTTGTGTTCCGGTCAGTATAACAGTATAACAATATAACAGTATAACAGTTCATGTATAATCCTTTGAATGTTTTCAAAATAAAACTTATTATTAATTAAAAAAATATTATGTTATTATTGTTTACATTTTAGTTGGAAACTTAAAAATGTATGACAGTGATAACAAAAAGTCATCATTAGTCTTTCATCGTATTTTCGAAGATGAAATATTTTATTCGTATTTTATTCTGTTTTCAATTAATGGCATATACATATACAATGATTTGCTTTGGTCTAACCGTATATTAACATTCTTTTGTAATTTAATTATTAAATTTTTGTTGTAAAAGTACAAAAATTACTAGGATTCGCTTGAACAGAGGGATTTTTTTAACATGATTACGTGAAACATTTGATTTGCACACCGAATCTCGCGTGTTTTTCGGTCATAATGTGAAATGTGTTGCCTTAAGCAGCCTACTTGAGGTAATAAATACAACCAACGAGCATGTAACGTCGTGAATTATAACATTTGGCTGTGCTCTGTTGTGTTATTAATGTTACTTGCGCTAGTCTTATTCCCACCGAATCCTACCGAATAGGTTAATACACTTTTCTACTTCAGTACGAAAAAGTAAAAATTGAAATCGCAAATCGTATGCCTATATTATAAATTAACAAAATAAGCTTTGAGAGCTTATAACTATTGAATTGCATTTAAATAGAAGAATTAACTTTTGTATGTTTATATATTTATGTATATGTATTTTAAATTGGAGATGCGTTAAACGTGAAATTATTTTTTTTTTTTCAATTAATTACAAAACAATATGAAAGTGGTAAATTTTAGGAATCCCCTGAATCCAAACGCTCGTCGTAAAGTCAAATGATTCCACGATGGCATACGGCCAGCAGTTTCTGTATTATATGTATAGACAATATATATTATAATAATATTATTATGATGAAAAATTATTTTTGGCAGCTAATTTTATCAAGTAAATATTGTTTGGCAAAAAATGATATGGTTAACAATCAGTAGAATATTAAAGCTTCATCGAGCTAGTCGAATAGCCAGATTCCACGCTAATATTAAATAAAAAGTTGCTGCGACTCGGTCTCTGTTTATTTTCATAGTGTTGGGAAACGCGGCGTTATCCGTTTTGTAATATCGTTAAGGTGTCTATTATAGTGGAAGTGGAAATAAATGGAAGTGAGATAAGCTCGAACTATACCTGTATAAACTGTACTAAATTGAATTACGCATTCGTATGAAATATTTTGTGTCTTTAATTAGGACCATATTCCTTTCTTTTAATATTTCACATCTTTTTTATATTGGGGTTAGCTTCTGTAGGTGTGTTTCTGTAGTCCGGAGGGGTTCTTACCCATTAAAATATAAATATTCTGGAGTAGCCATTGATGGGAGTGGACTCTCACGGCATGAGACGATCACCTATGGAACCAAAAGGTGTTCTCTTTCATTTGAAAACGTGGCAAGCGCGGTGTTTCACCCGATGTTAAGTCATAATCACCACTGTTAGCCATTTGCAATGCCCATGGAGTAGCAGATGCGTTACTACCGTTTAATAAAGTGGGCCCTTTGTATATCAGTTCCACTTATTATTTTAATAAATATAAAGTAATTGTTGAAATATTTTGTCGTCTTAGATATAAATTTCAAATGTTAAAACTTTTCTAAGTTTAGTATTCTTCAAATGAAATAACTAGTGCGATAAAAATCATTAGCATTAAATTTTGAGTTAATGTGTGTTTGTAATGAAAATATTTATCCAATTTCAGACCCGGAGCGGCGACGAAACATACATTAATAGTATTATCTTAGGTTTCGTAGCCATTGTGCCGTTTGTGCTGAGCGGCGTTCTAGTTAACAGAGTCGGTAAGAAGAACTTGTACATAGCTGCGGGGGCTATCAGCGTTTGTGTTACGTTTGCGATAAGGTGGGCCAGATCCAAAGTTGCGGTGGTCGCCCTATTCTCTCTGGACGCTGCCATCTCGCAGACGATGATTGGTTTATTCCAAGCACTGACATTAGAGGTATTCCCGACAACTACAAGGTTCGTTCTTTATATTACGCATAAAATCCTAATCAGGCTTAAGGTTGAAAATACAATTTTTGAAATCGTTCCATTTATTCTTTTTTTCTTTTAAACATTGTCCTCACTTTAGGATAACATTATCCTGTGTTGCAAGGACGTTTTACATACATAAATTTCACGTGGACAAACACCCGAAACAACTATCTGTGGGTCACACAAATAGTTGTCCCGTGTGGGAATCGAACCCACGACCCCCGACACCGAAGCCAATACCTTGACGACTGCGCCACGGAGTTCTTACGTCCGTATTAAAAAAAATGTGTTGAACCAATATCTGATCGAGATTCGTCAAAAGTTAATGTAACTGTGCTGTATATTTTCTTTATTTTACAACTACGTGACATTGACGGCACAGAGTTGGGTGTTGTTTTACATCAATTGCGTAAGTCATAACAGACGATTAAATAAATCACTCTAATTTCTTGTTTTTTATTAACACCAACGCAGAATCAAACTCAAACAAAATGACATGAGTTTGATTAAGCTGATATACTGAAAATGATATACTGAAAAAACAAAATAAAAAATAAACTCGTCTCTTTTAAATAGCCTATATGAGGAAACATATTTCTTTTATAAATTGAGCATTATCCTTGTCTTTCGTCGTGATTAAATTTGTTGAAGATGACATCCCGTCTCTTTTTTTTTTCTTATCAGCTCCGTCACGTTTTTAATATCACATGTTTCTAAGGTTGCTATAAAAGGCTGTCAATATTCTGGCGTTTTTTTCTCTTTTACGACGCCCGCGGGAAGGCGAGATAGAAAGTCGAGTGATATTTTTACGCAGCTAACTATACTAAATAATATAACTAAGCCCATATAACTAAATATTTGAAACGTGAATATTAAATAACAGAGAGTTCATTGTGCGTACCCAAGTAAAAAAAATTTCATCTAAATCTGTCCAGTCGTCTATGAGGAGTTCAGTCACATACACACGCAGAGAAGAATTATATATATAAAGATTACACGTAAATTTTATTTTATACGTTACACGTATAAAAATTTTTTGTTACAGGACCTTGGCGATATCTTTTATCATGACTTCGGGTCGAATCGGCACGCTTGTTGGGAACGTGCTGTTTCCTATTTTGCTGAATATGGGTTGTGCAGTGCCATTTTACACGCTCACCGGAGTGATGATATGTAAGAAGCACGCTTTAGCATTTTTCGCGTTTTACCATACAATAAAATGAGCATAAAGCGGCGGTAAGCAATTACTAAACATGAGACCATTACAAAGATGAAAATGCTCAAACAGTTAATTAAAAACATTTTCAATATTCTTTAGATGTCACAATATTTCTTCAGCGTCGCACAATCTATTAATCGCACAAAAATAATACAATTTTTAACGATTGTGTTAAGTAAACAGGCGGTTCATTTGTGGTAGGGCCATGCAACTCCAGCTGGGAGTTGCATGGGCAACTCCCACTGTTGCACTTACAGGCAGGTCTTTCCGGGGGAGTATCACAGGCTCACAGAAGGCCCGCGTGAAGTAAAAGTGTTAAGTGTTATACTTTCACGTTTCGTCTGGTAAATGAGGTAACCGGGGCCCTAATTTAAAATGTGTCAATGCATATTAAAAGCCCTTAGGCTTTTTAGATCATTGTGGGCGACATTATTCAGTAACATCAGGAGTACCACCTGGTCGCTTGACAACTTTTCATATTAAAAACACTATGAAAAACACATGCGTTGCCAACCTATAAAAGTGTAACATAACTCACGTGATGAAATCCAACGGTATATTATTTCCGACAGTTGATTTAACCATATTCATTTGTACATTAACCTCGGGTTGATCAAATGACGCAAATTCAGAGCGCATGGTCGCTAAGCAACTGAGCCTCGGTATATAGCCAATCAAAAGTGTAAACAACATTGCTTATTTACCATTCATATTTGTTCTATGCCATTTATATTTGAAGACAAGGGACAAAATACTTCTTAATGTGGTATAATTTCTTTTTCAGGCGTGACTTTGATGTCTTTGTTCCTGCCAAAGTCGTGATTAAAATTGTACCAACCGTTTTAACAAATAATATAAAAGGTGTTTGTTTGTTTTAATTATATAAAATAAATGTATTAATTATAGTCTAAATGTATTAATCTACAACACAGCAAAAAGTAAATTACAGTGAATGACAACGGTGACATTAATGAGCTAAAGTACCGGCTATAAACATTTCACATCGACCTTTTCAAACAGACAATTGTGTAATTTCATCATCGTAGACCGTTATCTTCTTCGCACAAATCTCAAAAGTCACCAGACTTCTGTGTGACAAAGATACTTACCGAAGTGACAGATTTAACTCTGTACGTGACCTCAACTAGCCGAGTGCCTCTTTCCAAAAGTCTGTATGCAATATTCATCGCCGAATACCATACTTTAGTAATCCGCAGCGGTATACTGACGCACAGTGCTGGTCACAAAACGTTTTTTTTTTTTTAATTGAATTTATAAACTGTAATATCACTTTCTAATATATCACCTAATAACCTAAGCTCGTCGAAGTTAAAGAGAGCAGCCTCAAAAAGTAATGAATAGAAGCAGCCAACAAAATGTCTCATAGAAAAAATAAAAACATCCAGCACAGATTTGGTCCAAAACAAGGACGCGGAAAAATAAGTCAGCTGATTTTCACACATGATCTGGGCCTATTGTTCTATTATTTAATCGGAAATACGCGCCCGGAAGAATGCAAAGGGATCGGAATATTAAAGGAAACATTGGCGTTGACAACGAAAGCAACAAGCTTTTCTAACGAGAGAAGGGTCCGTGTTTCTCTTTTTTTATCTGTCCTTTTGTGTTCGCCCTGTGTCCACGTGTCAATTTCTTTGGTTACTTTTGGATAGTCATATTTATTACGACATTCATATTATCGTTCAATTATGCGAAATATGTGAAAAATCTAATCTAAACTAAGCCAGGAGCGACAACATATTTAGCTATTTTACAAGATACCAAACATTGAGTCAAGAACTTGCTTTACATACTTAAGTTACCATCGACAGATAAATTATAGGGGAAATCTTGTGTTATTACTATTCTTATTTCGAGCCTTCTAAAATTTTGAAATATGCAAATAAAACTGTCCCATTTTTTTTATAACATTGGCTCTTGGATTATAATCCTAAGGAGTTTTAGTCATAGTTGGTATTTCATTGGAAGTTTATTTTTCAGTTAGAAAATTATTGTTGATGTTTCATAGATTCCAAATGAAACTATGTTATGGCTATAAGCAAACTTTAATCACATTCAGATGATAAACTAATACAAAATATGTTCTAGGAAAATGAACAAAACTAAAAACTTAAAAAAAATCATATGATAACTCTAAATATATTATTAAAAGGAGTCCTTTTACAGAAAATATAGAAAAACAATTAAGAGTACTCCTCTCTAATTTTTAATATTCTAATCCATCATTACATTCTTAATTTTTTTTTCATTGAAGATTTTTCAGCTTTACAGCTTTTCGTTAAGTAATTATTACCTACTGTCCTAGACGTAATTACATTTTTAATGTCTGAGTGCATTAGCTTATCGGCTATTTAATCCAATTTAATTATAAGGGTGCTATTGTTAAAATAAATTGCGCTGTGAAACACATTTAATACGGAATTTACGCTAACTTCAACCGAGTTTCAATGAATAACCCTTTCATTATTCACGAGTCCTTACTTCTTACACTTCCGCAATAAATATTTCAGTAATCGTAATGAAAATTTATTTTCTAGTTCATACACCATCCTTTACAAGGATTTTTTCACAAAGTTGTAACGCGATTAAGCAAGTATCCGAATTTCAATGGTATTGAAATACAAATAGCTGAAGAATATTACATTTATGGTTTTAATTATGCGATATTATGAATAATAGAAGATGCAAAAGTAAATATACGGGGAAATATACGGTGGTAGGGCCACGCAGCAGCCTCGGCTATTGCACGAATGGGCAGGCCCGTCAGGGTAAAGTGGAAGTATGACAAATACTTTTGCGTTTCGTCTGGTGAGTGACGTAGCCGGAGCTCAATTTTGCAAAAGGTTGTCAACGCATCTGTAACCCTTGGGTGTAGCAAATGTCTATGGGCGGAGGTATTCACTCACCATTAGGTGAACCGTCTGCTCGTTTGTCAACTTTTCACATAATAAAATACTGATAAAATCGGTTATTATTATCATTTTAAACCTAATACTTCAATGCGAGAAATGTCCATGTAAAAGTATGAAGCTATGCGCTCATATTCGTAATTTTAACATGTATGAACGTCGAAAATTAATCAAATTAAAAAAAATAAACAGAATTATGGAATAACATCATATCAATTTTCGAATTTATCTGACATGGAAAGAATCATCAAATCAACGCTGAAAAGGGTTCGAAACGTCGGGAATTTAAAAATGTCATTAAACGCGATAGAATCCGTAAAATAGTTTCATTTAACAATTCAATATTTTGATAGATTCTCTTGCGAGGATTAATTTAGTAAAAAATAATTACGAGGATAAAGATAAATAGAAGAGGAATTTATTCTCATGCTCTAAACGACGGCACAGTATTGTTCTCATGCGTCGGAGTGGGCGAGACTGATGATCGTCTTTGTTTCTCGAATTTTATTATTTCACGGGAAGGAACTCTCGAGTCATTGTTCACGGAGATGTGCGGGCCGGCTTGAGCTCTCTCGTTAATATATTTTTCTTCGCGTAATCATTCTATCCCAGTAGGTACTATGGAACTGTTTCATCGATTAACTCTTAAACTAGGTCCGCGGGGATTATGTTTGGTTGTTGCCCAGTGCTATCTAAAGTACAAAATTACCTTATTTTCGTTTTCATTTACGTCTAACTGCCAACGCCCTAAATAGCAAATATTGATGAAATAGCGGTAATATACATAATGTTTTTTGATATCAAAGATGTTGCGGTTTTTGTCGCTAGTTCAGCAATATTTTGGACCGAGGTTCTCGGTGTGACGTAATTACTCAATAATAAAGAATTCAAAATGGACTCATAGAAAAACCACAACATTAATGTCAAACACGGCACGACACAAAAGACACGTACATTTACTCAAATAGGTTTTGAATCCGAATCTGAAACATTCAAAGCAGTACTAACTGTTGTGCTTTCCAATTCATAACATGGTCTAAAGTTTAAATTACGAGTAGGAACTTATTGATGTAATCAAATTGCCAAAACTACAAAATGCAGAGATTTCACTAGAGCCCAATTTTTTTTTACATTGATATAAACACGGGTCCATAAGAGGGGCCCGTAAAGTTTGTGCGAGTTTTGTGTTTAAAATCGTAATTAGTTCGTTGAAAGTGGTTCCCCTGTGACAGCCTTTTAATAATTCAATTTAATGGCATCCATTAACATGAATAGTAGTCTCTATTTGTCAATATTCATAAAGCGAGGAGTTTCAAAAATAAGTTACATCGGCAAAATGAAAAAAAAGTTATGCGTGACTTTAAAACAATCATAAACAATCGTAGGGTTAAGCAAAGGTTGACATCATTAGATCATCGTTTCATTTCTTAGCATGGATTACTTAGAATATGTTTTCTGAATGTACACAGAATGTCTGTTGTTTCAAGACTTTAATAAATTAAACGTCTTGGACCAAATGTTACACAAGTGTTCTTACAAAAACAAACCGTTGAAAGTTAAGCGAAAGTGTAAATTACTTTTCTCAACTTAAACAAAGCTTCTTTAATTGGAGTGAAAGTAAAGCTTCCAAGAAAGATTTTATTCAAACCATTTCATACGAAATGGTTTATAAAACTGCGATTTTTTATAGTGAAAAAATGTACAGCTATAATTCTCTCTGTTAAAGAGCCATCGATAGCTCAATGCTCGAGCAACCTGAGTTCAAATCCCTGTGCCAGCACCAAATACGGGACCCAATTACAAAGACTCCGCTGCCAGTCAGTTTGTCTGTCTGTCTGTCCTTCTGTCACCAGGCTGTATCTCATGAACCGTGATAGTTAGACAGTTGAAATTAAAAAAAATTGAAACAAAATTATGGTGTATTTCTGTTGCCGCTATAACAACAAATACTAACACACGGATTTAAAAATATTTAAGTGGGGCTCCCATACAAAAGACATGATTTTTTTGCTGTTTTTATAGATAATGGTACGGAATCCTTCGTGCACGAGTACAACTCGCATTTGGTCGGCTTTTTAATCCACATCACTGATAAATGATATTCTTTAAACGAATAAGTGAAAGAATGAGCGTCCGGCGCACTGCGCGCGGCGTGCACTCTAGTGGGAGTACTGAAAGCGTAACGCAAATCCAAGGTGATGAAGTTATGCGTTCTGTCGATTCACCGCCCTATGTCAGTGTTGTTTTGCAAAAATTTTCGTTTGAAAAACAAAATACAAATTGGGATGTTTTCCCAAAAGATTTAATCACATGTAACTTGCAATACAGATTACTTTCAGCTATTAACTGCCAAACCAATTAATTGTATTGTTTCCTAAGCGATGAGTTTAGTAAGACGCCTTTCGAAACTTTAGTGCTCCAAACGAATTACGGAATTGTTTTCCTAATTGAAATGAAGTTTTCGTAGTTATAAACTCGAATCTGTTCAAAGATTTCCTTAAAGTCATTGTCGTTTTCATACCAGAGATGAAAGAAAAGTGTGATGTTATATAATTATACATTATAGTCTTTTTGTTTGAATTGTCTATGACATCACTATTATTCTCCATGACTGTGTATTTTTCATATACTATGTGAAACAGAAGAGACACTACAAGTGTGAAACTATGATGGCATGAATGCGTTTTGCGTCAAATTAGGATATCAAAAGCTTTTGATATATTTAGGATTATTTTAATGCTCTAAACTCTAAGCGGCAAGGCAAACCGGCCATAGTCGTTACGGCGCGTAAGCATCAACAACTTTATTTTAATATTTTACCAATGCTTGGTGTCACTTAGCGAGTACAATGTGCGCACTCTCTCAAACAAGATTTTACAATGATTATTTGAA